ATATAAGAAGCTAGGTAGTAAAATAGTGGAAGAGTAACGTTAGGACATTCTGTATAAAACTTGTATTTATAGGAGGAGTTTTAATGTATACAAACAAAGCATTAGAGAATGTATTAGATGCTTGATTTTTATATATAAGGTGTCCAAGGTTTTAATGAGAGCATTATTTTATACATATAAAGCACTTATGACATAATTTTTTTCCTTTAATTCTTATAAGAGTTTGGGGACCATGTATGGCCAAATTTTAGGAAGAAAATAGTTTCTCCATGTGCAAAAAGAAACACAAAGAATATTAATTAAGATATTCTTGAAGGAAAAATAAAGATGAAAAAAGAAAGTATCTGCTCTAAAATATTAGGTGAATATAAGATGTTTTAGATGCCAGAGCAGCAGTAATTAAAAGTTTTAGAGACAAATACTGCCAGTCAAGCAAGTGGAAGCAGATATTTAAACCAACTTTGGGTGAGCAAAATTTAAAACCAGATTCAGAGTGAGTGAATCACTGATTCTAAGTAGTTAAAGTACATCAAAGGGATGCGTTGCATTTGTCTCTTATTTTTTATATTTACTTGTGGAAAATTACGTATTTAGCCAAAAACAGGATATTGAACCCTCAAGTGTCCGTCAGGCAGCTTTACCACTCACCAGCACTTTGCCAGTCCTTCTTTTAATTGCTAGACTATTTTAAAGAAAATCCTAAGCTCCACTATGTAGCCCTTCAGTATAAACTGAAAGCATAAACACTTAATCTACAACCACACAACCACATTTTTATTGTCATACAGAAAAAAGTTAACAGTAATTCCTTACTGTGATTTAATACCCAGAGCCATGTTCCTATTGCTGAATCTATCTTAAAAAATCTTCATAGTTGGTTGATTAGAATCATGATCCAAACAAAGCCCCCATATTATATTTGGTAGATAATGTCTCTTTTCAACTATTTTATTCCCCCCCCACTCTGCTTTTAAAAAAATTTCCACATGCTGAATTTGGCTGATATTTATCCTCTTTTTGTCATCTAACAAGTTCTTTTTTCCTCATCTGTAATCTGTTAGTTAGATCAAGCGGTTACTTTAATTGTATTATTTATTTATTGAACAAAAATACTTGCTGCATGGTGGATGCTATGGTATGCATTCTAGGTAAACACATTATTTCACATATATCTCGTCCACTTTTGGTGGTGTTAAGATTGATTGACAAGCGAATTTTATTTTTATTTTTATTTTATTTATTTATTTTTTTTTTTTTTAGACAGAGTCTCAAGCTGTCACCCTGGGTAGAGTGCTATGGCATCACAGCTCACAGCAACCTCAAACTCTTGGCCTTAATTCTCTTGCCTCAGCCTCCCAACTAGCTGGGACTACAGGCATCCGCCACAACTCCTGGCTGGTTTTTTGTTGCATTTGTCATTGTTGTTTTAGCTGGCTCGGGCCGGGTTTGAGGCTGGCCCTTTGAGCAGTGGGCACCGCCAGCAAGTGAATTTTCATGCTATCGCTTCATTAAATTGTCCAGAAAGTTCCCATCAATCCTTTACTTAATGAATTATTCAAGTTGAATTATGATCACTACAGTAATGTAGAAATTGGCAATTTATTTTCTACAGAGAACCAGATAGTAACTGTTTTAGGCTTTGAGGACCATATGCACTCACACAATACATAATGAACAATCATGGTTGCATTTTAATAAAACTTTGCAAAAACAGAC